CCCGGCACCGGCTCCCAGGCTTCCCTGGGCAGCCGCTGCCCGGCGGCACCGCTCGGCACCCCCTGCACTCAGGCACGGTGCTTGGAGTGGGACCGGACCCCCATCCCCGGGGATGCGGTGGCTTTGGGATGGGGACTGTCAGCTCTCCAGGTGCTGGCTCCCCAAGGGTTATTTCTCAGGTGGGAAACCTGAGGCGATGTCTGGGTCGACGTCTGGGGGAGCCTGGCGCTCCCTGTCTCGGGGACGGGCAGCACAGGTTACGGGAAGCCTGCGCGCCCGGAGAGGATGCTCTGAAGTTACTGTGTGACGGGGGGACGCGGTGGCATTGAATTTCCTTGGCGTGCTTCAGGTGCCCTGCTGCGAGAGGCATAGATGTGTGTGTGAAGGTGACTTCTCAGAAGTAGGTTTTGTGCCATTCAGCATAGAGGAGGCACCGTCCCAGTGCCCAGCTCCGGTGAGGGAAAAATCAGGAGCGTGTCGGGGGGGTAGTAAGAGTTGCTCGGTGGGAACGTGGCTTTCAGAGCCCCTTCTGCTCAGGTGCAAGGGATCAGTGCTGGCGCCGCGGGGAAACGGAGACTCCCGTGAGGCTTAAGGGAGAAGATGGGAAGGTGCAAAACGGTTAACGTTACTTTTTCCGACTCGTGCATCATTGCCGTCCTACTTTTCTCCCTCTCTGATTCGCCTTGTGGGTGCAGCAACCCTGACACAATTGAGGCAGTGAGCAATTAATTTCTGGTGAAACCCAGGGACCCTGGGGTCCTTGTTCTCCCTGCTTTTACCTGCTTTACTGCAGGAGGTGACTGCGTTGGGGACGTTAAGGTAACGGGTTGCTGAGGGTCGGGCATCTCGTGGCGGCTGCAGGTTGGGAAGTGGGAAGGATGCCTGAGCTGGCTGCAGAAATGTCTTAATCTGGGAGTCGTGAACGGCAGCTCGCACCCTGCGTTAGAGAGCCCTGTGCTCCTCTGTGTCTCTCGGTCCAAGAAAGCAACAAGAAACCAATTAGAGGAAAATTACTGCTTGTCAAGTGACTTCATTGAACGGTTTCTTCCCCGCTCGGTGGCGGGGAGGGGATGGCTGAGCGCTGCTAGCAAGCACACAAAGGAAGGCTTGCTCGCCAAGCATGGAGGCTGCTCTGTGAACCGCTTTGACGCCTGCTTCCCTGCAGCCGAACCCACCCACCCCTGGCGTTTCGGAGCTGCGTCGGCTGTCCTCAGAGCGGAGTTCAGAGCCACCCGCAGCCGCTCCGCTGGCGAGGACCTCCCTTTTCTGTGCTGAAGGAGCTGGGGAGAGGCTGCCACAATAGCAACTGCAGAGCATCGCTTCGCTGCAGTCGCGTACGCTGTGCGCACCGGTGGCTTCCTCCTCTCCGTCCCGTGCCACCCTCCGTTGCCTCCCAGAAGGGCACGCGCTAGCTGCCGGCGCTGTAGGGGTTGAAGAGCCTGTGGCCAGTGTGATGTTTAAAATAAAATTAGAGCCTTTAAAAATGTCAGCTTGGACTCTGAATGTGTTTGTAAAGTTTCGGTAAGTGGGTTTATGTGTCTTGTGCTTGTGTTCTCATTACTGAAGAATAATGTTTTACGACCCAAGGTGCCTGTCAGCGCTCATCTTTGTCCGGTGCGTGATCCTCTGGCATCGCTTATCATCCTGCAGTGACCTTATAGTCTGAGATGGAAAATCTTACTGAAGGCACTATCTGTGTGGGTTTGTTCCCTTACATGACTATAGAGTAGCGGGATTATGTCAAATGATTGCTATTCAGCTGGCTCGCTGACCCAGGGCTTGCATGGTCTGATGTCATGTGAAGGGCTGGAACAAAGAATTTTTTTTTTTTTTTTAAGAGGCGAATAGATGCTGGGTTATCTCAGCAGTGCGGTCACCAGCTGCGAGATGCCTGTGGTTTTCTCCGCAACTGGACGTCTGGGGCTTTTCTGAACATGGCATGTTTTTGTAAGGTGTCCCAGCTTGGAAGGAGAATGCAGGTGCTGAAATCACTTGCCTGTCTGAAAGCCCTTGCTCTCCGGCATCTTCGCCCTGCTCCCTAGAGGGTTAAATGGGAAGGCAGAAAAGGATGATTGAGCAGAATGGGAGAGAGGAATTGTGGAAAGGCACAGCTGATCCTGGGGAGGTGGGAGGAAAGCTCTGCAGGGACAGAGTCGTGTTTTACCACCGCACATGTGAGTGTCGCCTCCGAAGCGTGGCTTAACCCACCAGGTCACCTGTAAGAGTCTAATTGTCTTCGGGACTCATCATAGTAAATCACTGCACGGGGCTGCTTCTCAGCTGCTTTATCATAGCCAGCCAGCCTGAGGAAGCCTCCCCAAGCCCAGCTGGGAGCCAGACGAAAGACTTCACAGCTTCCAAAGCTCTTGCCTGCTCTCTCCTTCCCTTTGCGACCCTCCAGCCTGACGCGGGCTGCTGGGGAAGACAGCAGCCAGGCTGACTAGACTGGGAAATGAGGTACTGTGTGATTTGGGATCCCGACAGCGCTGGGGCACGGGACAGATACCGGCTTTGCATAGACGTGTCTGATTCTGCTCGCACCGCGACCCCGAGAGCGTCCCCCAGCAGGCATCCCCCCATGCCAGGGACCTCTCGACGGTAAAGACCGGAGGTCTTAAGGGAGGAAGTACTGGTTTGTCTGGGCAGGGCTATCCTTTTGTAAAATTCGCTGTGGGGTGTCAGCCAGGTAGGAAGGACCCGTGATGGTGTCAGATACAGCTGCGCTGGGTCACAGCCAGGCACTGTGCCCCATGTGTTTTGCTAGCTCGCAGGTGTAGGTCCTGCTAGCAACAACTGGCCTCTGTTGTAACAGCAACTTGGATAAAATCTAACATTTCTGATCTCCATGCCTCAGGACATGATCTGATTGGGGTACAAAAGGAGGTTGTCTTCCGCATTGCCTCATTTGACCTTGCTCGGGAGGATTTTTTTCCCCTGGGCTATCCAGAAAGGGGCTGTTATCAGGCCAGCGGCCAGCTCTGGGGCTGGTGTCCCTTGATTTGCCTGAGTGCAGAGGAGCTCAGTCAAGGTCTGAGCCCTGCCTGGCGCTGTACAAGGACAGCATCCCAGTGAACAAGGCTGCTCCGATCTGAGGGACAGGGATCAAACAGCTGGTGTGCCAAGGCCAGGTCTCTTGTGTGTACCATGGCAATGAGGACACCAAGGTGGCCTTCTAAGCATTTGTAAGGAGCTTCTACAGTCACAAGAGGCTGTTGTGGGAAAGGAGGGAGCCGGAAGGTGTTAGACTGAGGAATCTGGATCAGCAGGTTACCGTGCATCAGCATACAAGTAGTAGCTGACCCTCACTGCTCAGCTCAAAGCGAAGCTGGGTTTACTCACATCACCTTCTGCAATGGTAATGGCAATGACTTTTTTTTTACGGTGTAGTGCAAAAGTGGAGCTATGCAGAGAGGCGGGTAGAGATGCATGGCTGAAGCAAGGTGGTCTGTGCAGCAGCGCTCTGAATGCATGTGGCTGTGCCAGGGGCTGAGGGTATCTGCGGTCTTGCCCGGTTGCCCAGCTGGGAGTTGGAGAAGAAAATCTGTAACACCGAGTTGTCTGGTTAGTGTTGTTTGCTTGCCCTTAAGAAAATGACCTTTCAGGCCGACATTTGGGGCTTCTTGCAGTCCTGTCATGTGGAAAGGGCAGAATCCTAGGAGTCATCAGAACAGATGCAGAGTCGGTGGTGGGTACGGGCTAGAGCATCTTGTAACGTCTGTGTGGGTTTGTTAAATATGGCTGCTCTTTGCACAGAAGCTGGAGGGCTCCTGCTGGAGGCTGTGTTGGTACAGAAACGTGCTGGCATTTAGAAGCTCGGATCTGGAGATGCTGTGGGATGCTCTTTACACCCCCAGAGGCCTTCTTGTGTCTCTAACAATAGCACGGCACAGCGCTGGTGTGCCGGGCTGCAGTGTTGCCTCTGATTTCTGTAATTACCCCTGAGGCCGGTGATGCAACCAGTTCGAGCAAGTGCCTGGCATCTTGCTGGTATAAACCACCTTCCTGCCCTCGTCCACATGAGCTTGCCTCTATGAAGGTGCCAGTGGGCCTGACCAAAGGCTTAGCCCACTACTGTTCCCTCCAGAAGTTCACGTGCCTGTGAACCCTTTTGCGCTGGATGCCTGATCTTCCTCCAGATCTAATGGAAAGTGACTGCACTGTGGCTAGCTCAGAGGGAGCACAAGTTGGTGATTCAGATCATCATAAGAAAAGGACCTGGGAGTGCTGGTGGACAACAAGTTGACCATGAGCCAGCAATGTGCCCTTGTGGCCAAGAAGGCCAAGGGGATCCTGGGCTGCATTAGGAAGACCGTTGCCAGCAGGTCGAGGGAGGTGATCCTGCCCCTCTCCTCAGCCCTGGTGAGGCCTCCCCTGGAGTACTGTGTCCAGTGCTGGGCTCCCCAGTACAAGAGAGACATGGAGCTGCTGGAGCATGTCCAGCAAAGGGCTGCTAAGATGATGAAGGGACTGGAGCATCTCTCCTCTGAGGAAAGGCTGAGGGAGCTGGATCTGTTCAGTCTGGAGAAGAGAAGGCTCGGGGGGGATCTGATCAATGTGTATAAGTATCTGAAGGGGGAGTGTCAAGAGGGTGGGGCCAGACTCTTCTCCGAGGTGCCCAGCAATAGGTCAAGAGGCAACGGGCAGAAACTGAAGCACAGGGGGTTCCGTCTGAACCTGAGGAAAAACTTCTTTCCTGTGAGGGTGACAGAGCACTGGAACAGGTTGCCCAGAGAGGTTGTGGAGTCTCCTTCGCTGGAGATATTCAAAAGCCGTCTGGACATAATCTTGTGCAACGTGCTCTAGGTGACCCTGCTTGAGCAGGGTGGTTGGACTAGATGATCTCCGGAAGTCCCTTCAGACCTCAGCCATCCTATGATTCTGTGATAATCAATGGGACCATTGAGGTAGCTGGGTAAACGGCTCATTTCCAAGCCCCTGCAGCAGCCCCCCAACTGTAGAGTGGTTATTGCCCAAGACAGGCTGGCTTGTCTGTCCCTGGATGGATGCCAGGGGCTCAGTGCAGCACTGCAGATGTGCACTTCCAGGGGGTGGGCAGGATGCCCAGCAGTGCTCATCGGAGCTGGTGGCCACCAGGAGCATCTGCTTATGGACAGAGTGAGGACAGGAGGGAGCATTTGGTGACCTGTATGACCTTAAAGGAAAGAGCCAAGGCTCAAACACGGTGTGGAAATCAGTCTGCTGGAGGGGCTCAGAGGGCACAGCAGCTGGGGACAGGGTTGGTCTGTCCAGGGCATGACAGGGCAGTTTGGAGCGAGGAGGGGGTGGGAGCTCAGAGAGTGCAAAAACTCTGGCTTAGTGGAAAGCATTCAAGAGCAGAGGGCAAGCTGGGGGCAACACCTGGAGAACAGCATGGCATGGAGCGAGCACCGAGCTATGTGCTGTGCGAGGCAGGGCAAAGCAGGTCATGTTCAGGAGGGACAGAAGTTCACAGGGCTGGAAAACTGAAGGGTAAGGAGCAAGTCAAAGCTGTTGGCAGAGCGTGGGTCTTGCTCACTTTTGCCGTTGTTTCTGCTTTGAGCAGTTGGTCTCATGTCTTTCTAGGAGCTCTCCTGGCTTTCCATGACTGCTGGCTTTTGCTGCTGCAGCAGCATGCCTGTGGAATGAATTAATTGCCAATCCATTTCCTTCCCTGGATTATGGCCGTTGAGTTTCCAATGCCTTAGTATAGGCATGGCTCTGTCCTAAGCCACCCACATGATGGAGAAAGTGAATCCAGGGAGCTGCTTCTCTATTCTGACCTCACTGCGTTGTGTCAGGCTATGACACTTAACCACCTCTTATGCCACTTAATATTTCTAGCTGATTGCAGCGTTTAGTTGAAGACTCAAAGGGAGTGCAAGTCAGGCTAGAAAGTGTTTTTTAAAAAAAAACCTCCCACCATCACAAGATGTTTCTGTCTAACGGCTTCGTTCTCTCTCCGCTAAATACAAATTACAGCTCTGACGTGCTGGAAGCATTTATCTCCAGCTGAATGCCAATTGCTTTGAGGAACAAAATGTTTGAAGTTCCTTTAAGGTGAATGCGGCAGCACTGTCCCTGTTGGTTTTCAGTCTGTGCTGCCATCTCCTCAACGACTTAAGAAGTTGCAGTCGTTACCCTGCTTTGCGTTAGCTATGCACAGATCCCTCTCCTTGCTGAACCTCCGTGAGACAGCAAGCCAAGCTCTGCCCTTCGCCTGCCCGGCGGAGGGGGGAGACAGCTACGTTTAAACTCCGCACAGCCCTCCTTGCTCTGTGGGGGGGAAACGGTCACGCCTACGAGCGGCCTCGCATGACGTTAGCGTCGGCGTTGCCCATATAATAATTCTGTGTGCTGGCTTAGTGCTTCCTGTCCGTGAGCCTGAAAGCTTCGCACAGAAGATGAGTGCCTCTGTCCCTGCTTCGCAGGTTGGGCAGGCAAACCCAGAGCCAAGGGGTGCCTTAGCCCTCCAGCGCTAGCGTGTTGCCTGCGGCTGCTCTGCACCGTTACGCTTAACTTTACCTCTTGCAAGGAAAACGTGGACTTGAACTGGCTCTGGTGTTGTTGGCCGGTGCAATGGGGGGAGAGACAGCTCCGTGATAAGTGTGTGCTCGTCCAATTTCTGGCTCCCGGAGTGCGATACTTGCGTTACAGAGAGCTGTCTTTCTGCTTTCAGGAATAAATACTCAGCTGCAAGCAGCGTCGCGGTCATGGGGAAGGACTATTACAAGATTTTGGGCATCCAGTCTGGAGCCAATGAGGATGAAATCAAGAAAGCGTATCGGAAAATGGCCCTAAAGTATCACCCCGATAAGAATAAAGACCCCAACGCTGAGGAGAAATTCAAGGAGATTGCAGAGGCCTATGATGTCCTGAGTGACCCCAAGAAACGAGCCGTTTATGACCAATATGGGGAAGAAGGTAAGGTGACGAATGCTCCCGCTCGAAGGCAGGGGTGAGCTGGGCGCAGAGGCATCCCAGATTGTTCTCTCTTCGGATCTTAGTAGGTTTTTATAGGCAAGGGAGCATTTTTATACCCTACCATGTAGCAGGCATTCGGCGGCGTAGGTGGTGTGGCCGGAATTCTCCCCGTGATTCATTGCTGCCTCCAAAACAAGGTTACTAGTAGCAGAATTGGGGAGAACAAATGCTCCGCTGATGCCACTTCGCCTCACTGCCAGAAATAATCTCTCGACCCAGTTCTCCACTGACTGCTCTGCAGCAGGTCGGAGCTGCTTTTGCAAGGTGCAGCCCTGCACCAGGCTGGGCCGGGCCGGGCCAGGCCGGGCCGGGCCAGGCGGGGATCTCCTTGCCCTCAGCCCACAGGGCAGGCGAGGAATCACCCTGCAGCAGCTAGTAGCCCCAGGTAGTTAGCTCAGACGGTCAGGAAGCCAGCTGGCGCTTCTTAGCTCTTTAGTGCTGCCTCCAAAGGCTGAATCACTTACTGAGATAACAGAAGAGAAAGGAGTTTGACTCCTGGGTCACACAGGACTGTTTAGTTGACCTAAATTTTCTAGCAGATAACCTTTCCTTTTGCCTTGATTTCCCCTCTGCAAAGTCCTCGTTACCATGCTTTGAGGTGCCATTTGTAAGCTATTCCCACTTTTCTCTCTGGCACACGCTGACCTACATGATTCAAAGCCTTTCCCAATTTAAGTAATAGGTTCTTGTTTTGAAACTAAGTGGCTGCTGTTGTCTCCCGGTTGGCATGGAGGAGGAGAGCCGCTCCACCACACACAGCCTTATTAGTCGAATATGAAAGTCTGCAACCCCATTTGCTGAGGGTGAGGAGAGCACTGAATAGCATCGGCATTAATCAGCCAAGGACTTGGGTGCTTAAAAGATCAGAAGGTCTAGTATAAACAGGCTGCTCAGTGGAAGATGCAGCCCCTCCTGTGGGCCCAGCAAGCAGGTGCATCCCCTTATGAGACACCAGCAGAAATACACTGTGGTCAGAGGTACCTTTATCAGTCCAGTCCTGCTCCTGGCAGGCACAGAGAAGGCTCTCTCTGCCATTCGAAAGCAAAGAAGTCTTAGGAGGATACAGAGACTGGTACCCCTGACTGATGTAACTATATCCACTGCCTGAAAGTTGCTGGGGAACTAGAGACATCAGAAACTTAAGGAAAAAACTGAGGAGCTCCATGGAGAAGTTCCCAGAGGCTCCTCGTGCTGTTAGAAAGCAGGCTTCTGGGTGTGAAAGCACAGACTCACCTGGGGAAACTCCCTGCTGGTTTATCTAAGCAAAAATACAGAGCTGTATTAGAAAATCTCTGCCTGGCAATGCACGCTCTCACTGTTGCCTATACCAGTTGCTTAACTAGTTAATTATGTCACCGCTACAAGGGAATCACTGAACCGCAGTGATTTGCTGCTGTCTAAAATTAGATATGGCTATCTCAAGTGAGAAACTAGCTTTTCCTTGGAGGCACCATTGAAATTGGACCCTGCTTTCCTGTTGGTCTCACTGCTGTCTTGGGATTAAAGTGAAGGTAAACAGCGATTGCATAAAGGTGAAACCTCCTGGCTGAACAATCTGTTATGGACAGGGGCTCTCTGGGGACGAGGTGAAAACTCCGTCACCGAAGGCAACTAAAATAAGTTAATTGAGTAGTGGGGAAAAAAATACAGCAGAAAAGTGCTCCCCTAGTGTGCAGGGGATGGAGAGGCTGGGTTTGAAATCGGCCTTGCCTCTCTGTCACTGGCCCCAGCGTGTGAATGATTTTCTTTCTTTCCCCTAATAAAAGACTCCACAGTGCGTACAGCGACCCCAGCACCAACAGCATGCAGCCTGGCGAGACCCATACGTATGATCACCCAAGCACGTTTTCAGCAGCCGCTGGGGTCGTCCCCCCTTCAGGGCTCCCCTGGGTAAGGAACGGCCTCATGCTGCTGGGGTTTCTCCGGTGCTGGTGGACCCCAAAGCCACCAGGCCTGAGCCTGCTCCGCTCATGGCCTGGAGACATGCCCTCGCTATGGGAGCTGATCCCACCTACTTTGGCAACCCTGGCAGAGAAAACACAGGCACAGAGTTTTTGTGTTGAACTACTCAAAATGGGAATAACTAGCAGCAGGTTCAGCCCTTCCTGAGGGGCATGGATTTGCCTGAAAAGAGCACGGCACCTGTCCCATGGGGCTCAAGTACCAGCAAACCAAACCCCTTGGGTGTTTCTGGTTACTGGAGATGATTACTCTCTCTCCAGTATCCTGGGCAGAATCAGTGCTGTATCTCTTTCCCACTGGACGCGTGGTCAGGGTCACTATTTTGTCCTCTTTTCTTCCATTCGTACGCTGTTGGGCACCCGTGGGCTTTTCATGTTAGCGAGCAAGAGCAAGGCACGGATTTCCTTGTGACTTGTAGCTGCCCTCTAGCTATTCCTGGAGCAACTGGTTATGCTATTGGCATTGCCACTCTCTCCTTGCTCAGTGGCCTTTCCATGTTGGCCCATAATCAGCTGCCTTGCCTCTTCCTTTCGTGATCCCTCTTCCAATGCAAAATGTACTCCATCCCCTGGGCTGGGAGAGGCCGACTTCCCCTACAAGGGCTTCTCCGTAATTATGGCCGCGTGAGCAGGCAGACGCAGCGTCTGAGCTGGCTGTACCCAGAGAGCCCATGCAGAAGTTCAAGGTGTAGAGTCTGGGCAAAAAGGAGATGGAAGATTTGAGAAGGCCTTGTGGCTGAAGGGAGGGCCTGGGAGGTGCTGATGCTGGTCCCGGACCTGTTGCAGGACAGGACACGGACTGTCATCAGTCCCGGAGGTTTGGCTCCTGGATGGTGACTTCCAGACTAGTCACTTGCTCCTGCAACAGGCCCACTTTTGTTTTCCAACCAACTCCTTTTTTTGGAGCGATGTGGCCTGCTGGTTAGTGTTTTAAGGGGGCCTCTGGGCCCCACATACTGGCCTGAGTCAGGGTGGGCCCCGTGGGGCTTTGCTCCTCCTGCCCTAAGGCCCAGGTCCAACCTGGGAACCAGGCTGGGGAGGGTGACGCTCGTAAAATCGGACCTGTGCAGCCAGGGTGCTGAGCTGAGAGGCGTGACGGCTGTTGTTACTCTCCACATCTCTAATGCCATGGGGCACTAGCCACCTTCTAACATCCCCTTTGCCATCAGCCCTTTCCTAAGGCCAAACCGCCTCCTTGACAGGGCTGCAATGGGGTCTGAAAGGCACAGCCTTTCTTATGGCCATGAGAGGCCAGTGGCACCAGGAGCCTCGCGCAGCGCACAGCATGGGCTCTGCAAGAGCACAGACTGCCTGGCAGGGCAGGGGCAGAAGGCAGGGGTGCTGCGGACCACCTGTGAGCTTGCCCAAGTGCTGCTGCCTTGCAAGGAGGCTGAGAGCCCAGCCGGGCATTGAGGCCTCCTGCTCAAGTGAGTGCAAAGTGAAGCAGAAGGCCTCTACCTCACATGATAAATTCGTCAATCAAGCCAAGCAGAAGAGAGGAGCAAACATGTCCATACTGTGTTGTCCCCCTCGTATCGCCTGCTGCTGGCTTGTTGTGCAGGGCGCTGGCACAAGGGATGGCCCTTCAAATAGCCCTTTACCATCACTGGCTTCCCCCGAAAATAGTCCTTGAGCTAGGCTTGTTTTAACCCTTCCCTGACCTTCTTAGTCAAAAATAATGCTGCAGAGTATATGACCATGAACCATCTGCCCACTGCTCCTTGTGCTTTCCTGACCTCCTCTGTGGTTCCTCTTGAAGGGGTTTTGCAAGTGTGACTTCTTTTGGGGGCTGTTTGTCCTGTACCTCAGCTGCTTGGGACTTTATGGAGTTTGCAGTGATGTAAGGCTCTGCCAAGGATCTGTCAGGGGAGATTTCCATGGGAATGGTTGCCATTTTATAAAGTCTTCTTTTGAGTTGGGAAAAATACAAAAATACCACTGTAGGACTTCCACTCCAGTGGCAGCAGCTGACCCCTAAGACCTTGTATTGCAGAGGGGAAGGTAGCACATGCATGTGTTTAAACCCTGCCCTCAACTGTCCTCCTGCAAAATGATTGTCCTATTAAGCAGATGTAATGGTGCTCTGACAGAGCTATCACGATGCCAAACCTTCACCCCGTTTGCAAATTGCTGCTAGGACCTCAGGTCAGACCCTTTGATCTAATGTGCAGAGAGCTGTTTCGCTCCCACGCACCTCACTATGCTGGGGGGGGGGATTAGCTAGGGCAGGTCTGCTGACCTCCATGTGCTCTGCCAACAAAAGTCCTGACTGTACAGTTGCTTACTGAGTTCAAAGCTTTTTCTAACATGCTAAATGTGCTGCTTTTAGCCCGTGACTGTCAGTGCAGCTCAGGTACTTTGGGTAACAGGCAAGAGCAGATAGCTCGCCCAAACGTGGGCTTTGTGCATCACTGGCTGGATGTCAAAGACCCAATACATTGACTGCAGCGGCTCAGCTCCAAATGCAGCTTGAAGTGGCTGATAAAAGTCTGGTGGGATGCTTCATCCCCTTTAATGTGCAGGATTTCTCTGAACAGGCTTAAATCCTCATTACCAGGAAGGAAAAGCTTGCAAGCAGATCTGCTCCTGAGCCAGCTAGTCCTTGTGCTCACCTTCCAGCCCAGGCCACTAACAGTTTTCTCAGCCGTACCCATTCTCATCCACGGGGAAGATGTTTGGCTAGAGTTGTTGCTAGTATGTTCAGAGGAACATACTAAATGTTCTAAATGGACTAATCAGGAAACATTTTAAGTGAAAAGGCTGTAACATAACCAGAGAGAGCAAACAGGTCTTTCAGTAGGGATAGCAGGACAAAACCAGGCAGCTTTTAAGATGGAGCTGGCTGGGTGTAGGGGCAGGACTGTGTGATGTGGGCTGAGGTGATCCCTCCCTGGTCTATGCTCTCCATGGGCAGCTGGGATGGAGGGGGTGACCGACAACACCAGGAGCTGCTGGAAAGGCTGCCTGGAGCCGGTGGAGACCATACTCCCGATCCTGCACCTGTCTGGAAAGTGCAGCTGTGATGGGTTCCCAGCACAGCCTCGCATCTGCCATGCAGAACCAGCAGCTTTCAGCAGGGAGTGTTAATGTCTTGTGTTCCCCATTCTCTTCTAGGTCTCAAAACAGGAGGTGGCTCTTCAGGTGGCTCAGGGAACACTTTCCACTACACCTTCCATGGAGACCCCCACGCCACCTTCGCATCCTTCTTTGGAGGCTCCAACCCTTTCGATATCTTCTTTGCTAGCAGCCGCTCCCGAGTGTTCAATGGCTTTGACCAGGAAGACATGGATATTGATGACGATGATGACCCTTTCAGTGCCTTTGGCCGGTTTGGTTTCAATGGCATTAACGGGGTTCACCGGCGGCACCAGGAGTCCCTGCACACGCGGAGGAAGGTCCAAGACCCACCTGTCATCCATGAGCTCAAGGTGTCCCTGGAAGAGATCTACCACGGCTCCACCAAGAGGATGAAGATCACCCGCAGGAGGCTCAACGCTGATGGCCGGACCATGCGGACAGAGGATAAGATCCTAAACATTGTCATCAAACGGGGGTGGAAGGAGGGAACCAAAATCACATTCCCCAAAGAAGGGGACGCCACCCCGGACAACATCCCTGCTGACATCGTCTTCATCCTCAAGGACAAGCCTCACTCACACTTCAAGAGAGATGGGACAAACGTGGTCTACACTGCAAACATCAGTCTTAAAGAGGTGGGTGTCAGTGGGAAATCCTACAGGGTGGGAGGTGGTACTGGGTCATTGCACATGGGGCCAAGATGGGAGAGCTGTTTTGGAGAGCTGCTCAACCTTTCTGCTGAGTGTACGATATGGGATACTGCAGTCCCTGCTGATGCACCTTGCTTCTTGAGCAAATACATGTGGTATTTATCCATTTCCCCCTTTCCCCATATGTTCCATCCTTCTATTTCAACATTGGGTATTCACATGCGGAAGACAACCCAGATCCTCTGTAGAAACAAGAGAAAAAACAAGTTGGCTGACTTGTGTCTGGTCCCTAGTTGTTCACATAGCTGAGCCTGCTGTAGTAATCGTCCTGGATCCAAAACCAGCTGTTTTCTTTGGTTCTGGCTTCTCTAGATAGAGGGCAATAAATAAAATATTCAGGAAAGCCTGGCTGTGAGCAAAATCCAGCACACTCAGGCTATCGGTCCTGGAGGTCACAGTGAGACTTGCTGCATCAGAGCCTCAAACTGTGCAAGGATGGGAGAGGAAGGGGAGATTACCCAAGTACAAGATGTGCCGTTCACTGCTGCTGTCTAACTACCTTTTAATAAATGCCAGCTGGCAGCTGCATTTAACGTTGACATTTTTGGCAGCTGCCATTTGCTGTTCCTTTCAGACTGTAGACGCTGTCTGTCTTCTTAATGAATTGATTTTTGTTTCAAAGATAGATTTGTGTTCTCAGATGCATTTAATAGAAATCAGCTCAATGGGCCAGACCTGGGGTAGGGAAACGTGAGCTCTTTAGTGCGCCAGCAAGTCAGAAGAGCTTTGCGATGGCTCTGCATCTTTGCTAGGGCTATGGCCAGGTGTCCTGGGAGCAAGGGGGAACCAAGTGGGTCAGGAAGAGCTGGATGCAAAACCTACACTAAAGCAAACTCATCTCAAGGTAACCTGTAGACTTGGGAGTTGAATTTCCTTCACAGTGCAAAGGGATTCAAGTAAAGAGGTTTATTCCTGTGGTGGCTGGCTCTGCTGACCACTCCAGAAATACTTGGGAGAGGCTGCATTATTTATGGAGGCATGCATGCCATATCTCAGATGTTTCCTTCTGTGCATTCCCATATCTGTAAAATTAACCCCAAGCTGGCTGTCCTGATGTCCAGTCTATGTTACTCCAGGATCATTTGCTGCTCAGGTAGCAACCTAGACTAGGAAGGACTCTCAGAGTTGGCCTTTGAGCATGCAGCCCTAAGAAAACTATTCTGGCTCCATGTGCTAGTGCAGAGACCTGCCAAAATTGCTGATGGTGGGGCCGGGGGAAGTAGCTGCTGTGCCGTACCAAGTAGTTCCCCAGCTACGTCTTACCCACAGGTTACTTGTGATCTCTCTCCAGCTGCCCATAAACAAGGCGTGTGTTGGCATTCGGTTTGCATGATGCAGTCACAAACAGAGACTAGTGGAAATTGCTGGTCCAGGCAAATTCCTGATCTCTTTCTTTGAGCTGGAGCTCCTGTTCTCTGCACGCCCTCATCACAAACTGAACTCACTGGAGATCCGTGGGGAGCTGCTGGCCTGGCTGCCATCCCCATCCTTCTGTTTGCCAGGGCAGGATAATGCTTTGCTGCTTTTATCTTCCTTGAGAAGAAGTAGCTTAAGTGCTCTGAAGCATGAGCAGATGCCAGGATCTCCCCGACTCCGTATGCCACGATCTCGGTTTGTGACGGAATAAATCACAGACCTCTTCATCACCTAGCCTACAACTGTAGCCTTGAGTGCTCTCCTTGCACTGTTCTTCTTTGCGAGTCTGTCTTTTTTAGCTTTAGCTTTCATCTTTTCAGCTGCCACGAGAGAGCAGCACAGTGTGGTACGAACAGGCAGATCTGGGAGGCGTTTGGGGCTGTGATCTGATTCACAGTCCTGCCGGAGACCTCTTGCCAGCACCCTGCTGCCAAGGGTGGTAACGCTCGCTGCCATGGCCCTGCTCAGGCAGGGAGCAGTGAGTGCCTAGGAGCAGGACAGGGGTGACTGGAGCACTGGCAGTGCAGCATCCGTTTCGCAATGCTTCCTTACGGGCTCCTTCTCAAAGTTGAGCAGGAGCAGGCAATGCTGAACCTGGACACCTGTCCACTCTCTGGTAGGAACTCGTCCGGCTCCAGCACTCCCACAGGGAACCTGGAGACCATCCTCCTTCTCTTTGATCCCATGGACCCCTCCAGAGCATGGTCCAGGCAGGTAATGGCCTTCCAGCAGTCACTTGACCTACAGAACCTAGCAGCTGTAAACTTGTAACCCTAGACTGCCTCAAGCAATGGTTTGGTCAGGGTGCAGATGAAGGCAAGGAGATCCCAAAGGACAAGCTGCCTTGTGGCACATTGAGGGCCAGGGTGCGACTCTTCCACTCTCTGAGCCCAGGCATTTCCAGAGCTCATGTCCTCATCCCTTTCGGCACCACATCCCCTTGGCCAGGACAGCACGGGGTAGTTGCTGCCCGGTGGGATCTGCTGGCTCAGCACTGCAGAAGCGTGTGGTGGAAGAGGGCTTCCCCAGAGGCAGGTGGGCTGCAGGGAAGTGTCCATTCTTAAAATTACAGGCACGCGCCGCAGTGGGAGCCGAGGGAAGGAGGAGTGACACTGCTATGCCAACAGCTGCAAAAGCCTGTGTCTCCTGGGAGGCAGATCTTCAGGCAGCGCTGCCGGAAGGGGCCTTTATGGAGATGTTACATCCGCTCGGCTGCGTGCCTAACGCCTGCCCTTGGGAGCTGCCTACTTTGCATCCTTTACCTGGCGTCACCTTCCTTGAAGCATCCACACTCCAGCCTTGCTGAAACGCTCTTGGAGTGCCACTGCTGCCAGTGGCAAAATCCTCCTGTGGCTTCACTGCAAGCAGAGGAGGGCCCACTGCTGACCTAGATAAATTTCTGCACTCGTAGCTTAGCTCTCGAACTTACTTTGATTTAATACCTAGGGGTAAACGGAGCCTCTTTCCAGGAGGCAGAGCAGCTCCCTGTGTTACGGTGGAGCGCTGCATGCTGGCGTATCACCGTGATCCACGCTCCTGCTTGCGGTCACTGGTATTATTTCAACAACCAATTCCTTAAATGCCAGTGAAGTTGGGCAAGAAAAATTAAAAACAAGAACATACGGTGGAGGAGCAGTTGCCTCTAATTGGTGTGTCTTGGCTCTAGGAAGGAAACGTTAAGATCCTGCCTGTCTTCACTGTTGCTGCCTGTTTCTGCTAACATTCCTCAGCTTTTCAGGGCAAACATGTTGCTGACGTGCAATGCCCGCACCGTGAGCATGGCAGAGGGCTCTCTGCTTCGACTTTTCCAGCCCTGTCCCTTGGTGCTGGATGCAAAAATGCCAATCACACTTCTGCTGGCCTATTTTGGTCTCAAAAGCTCATTCTGGAAGCTGAAACAGCCGCCCAGCTTCCCGCTGGCCGTGTTGCTGTGAGGACTGAGCAGAGGAGAGCGTGCGGGCGGCTGCCCGCCGCACTCCTCAAGCGCAACGCACCATCACGTTGCAGAAGCATGGTGGCTTGCAGAGAAGGTGGCTGCCCTGAGAATGACCTGTCTCCTCCATAGCAAAAGCAGCACCTCAGTTTGCCTTTGGCTTTTCTGCTGCAAATAAAAGGACAGTGTTACCTTGGCCCTCTTGGCTGGAAACCTGAGGCCTAACTGCTGTGTCCGCCACCCACCCCTTGCTTTCCCTTTCTGCTTGCCATTCCTCAACCGGCGATGTCTTTTCTGCAGCACACCTGGACTCGTGCAGCCCTCTGCAGTATGTGCCAGTGGGCAGCTGGGAGCACCCCCAAAACCGCCAGTCGCTT